AGTGCAGGTAACGAATTTAATGAATATATTCCGCTAATAATGGGGGGAAGGTATTTACGTTGTATCTCTTTTTTCATTTGAGACTAGACTGTGATTTTTCCTCCTCGCTGGCATAAGTGTTTCAAAAGTTTCCACAATAGTGGGCACTATCCTTTTACTTAAAAGCAACTAGTTTTACCATTTTATCCAGTTGAGTGTCCTTGTATTCAAATGCCCATCCCATTATCAGGAGCAACTCGATAAATTCGTCTGGATCCGTGCGATAGTCAAATTTTTGTAAGTCAATCTTCATTCCAACATAGAGATGCACTATTCTCTTGCTGACGTAATCGTTTCAATCATTTTCATCATAGAGATGCACTATTTTTTAACTTAAACAAAATAGTTTTACCATAATGTTCGGCGGAGTGTCCTTGTATTCAAAGACCCGATTTTCTATCTGGATCCACTTGATAAATTCGTTTGGATCCATGCTATTGTCAGAATTTGGTAAGTCGACCTTTGCTCCAACATCCTGACTTTTCTTTTGATTTTAATACCAAATCATCGAGATATTGGTTCTTTATATAGAAGGGATTCACTTCCTCAGCTCAATTTGACGTGTCACTGTTGTGGCTATGAACGTCCTCATTGGATTGTCTCTTCTCAAAGATGACTTGTCTTTGTTGAAGTTGAAAGATTTCTCGTTGCATATCCTCCATACAATGCTTCTGCAAGCCTCTTTGCAGATTTCTCTTTGGCGGCAGGATGTCTCATTCTTTTGATAGAAGTTTTGACGGAAAAGAAGAAGAATATGATTTAAGGATTTTGTGGTAGATGTTGAGTTGAATTTTGGTTGGAGGCAGGAATGTTGTATTTTGGAAGTTTTAGGTTTTGGGCCTAGGAATTAAGGTAGAAACAGTTTGGGTGTAGTGAGGATTTTTTTTTTTAGAAAATTTGAATTTTGGGTAGAAAAATAGATTCCTGAAAATCTAGGGTTTGCTTGTCCCTGATTTCAGATAACACCGTTCTAGGCCTTCGAGAAATTATATGGGAAGCGGAATAGTGAGAAATGAACTATGAAAGCTTGACAAGTGTTTGGAGGGGGAGATGAGATAAAACCTTCTGTTGGACAACAGTCGGAGGAGTTCAGCGGCTGTCCGAATTGAGAATAGCGGCCTAACAACGAAACAAGGAGACACGAATGTCGAGGGGATCCACCACCTATTCTTGGGCAAGCTAAAGGCTAGGAGTTCAGCGGCTGTCCGAATTGAGAATAGCGGCCAAACAACGAAACAAGAAGGCACGAATGTCGAGGGGATCCACCACCTATTCCTGGGCAAGCTAAAGACACACCACTTGCTAAAGGAATATGCTGCAACACTCAGAGAGCAGAAATCAGAGAGTTTCTCCAAATACATAAACTTAGATAATTGAAGTCTCAAAACTCTATTACAACATATATAAAAGTCCCCTCGTAGCAAATACCTAATTAGAAATTAGGAAAATAGGCAAGAACCAAAAAGGAAGAAATAAAGGAATGAAACTTGATAAATAAATAAAGGAATAAAAATAAAAAAAGAAAAATTAATAATATTCTCGTCGGGCCAGGCACAAGCGATTGGAGGCCGGGTACTGCAGAACCTGGAAATCACAGAAACATGGGGTTTGCAGTATGCCTGTGGGACACTCCTGCGTCAGCCAGTAAGCTAGAAGTAGAGGTATAGGATACAGTGGAGTGGTGAAGGAACTAACAATTCACATAAATAAGCACTAAAGGCCGGTGAAGAATGATCAAGGAAAAGAAGGGAGTAAGATTGGGGATGCTGGAGGTGCTTTACTTAAACGAGGTTGCCTTCAAACAGGAGGTTGTGTTGAGGTGCTTTCAGAGGTGTGGTTAAGGAGGCTGGGCGTTCATATCTAAGACAGTTCATCACTTGTTCTTTCATGTTGGCATAGGGTTTTTTTTGTCTTTGATTTTCACAATTTCAATCTTCCTCTTTGTTTGGATAATGTACTTTAATTTACTGCAGTTATACTATGACTACATTTGCGTTTACCTTTATTTGGGACACCGTGCATACACACTTCACTTATGCACGTGTATTACTGTTTGCATGTTTGTATTGTTGTATAGATATGACACAATTTGGTTTATATTTGGCATCGTATGTTCCTTAATAACAGGAACTTTCAATTTGATACAAAATCCACTTATTGATTTTAAAAATCATCTAAGTTAACTTGAGTTATTTTTACTTGGCTTGATTTTTGAATTAAGTTTCTTAGTGAAATTTATTTGTAGAGATTTAAACTTTACACATATTTTGTATCTAGAGTATCTAAGTGTAGAAGACTCATTTTGTACTTTATGTTATTGCAGTTTTGCAGTTTAAAAAGGGTGACACATTTGTTTATGACCTTGATAGCACACATGGAACTTTTATTAACAAGAAACAGGTGATACATTTGATGAGTTCTACCACTGCTAAATAGTCGTTGTATATAAATGTTAGATTATCAGTCAAAACTAATGCTTTCTCAACCGTTATTGGCAGCTTTGTTATTTCCTCTTTATAATGCGTGTTTTAAATATCACTCTACCTTTGGCAATTCTGTATGAGAGTTCATCTGAAGCAGCTAATGACATGTATGATGGCTTACTTGTGAATGTAGATTTCAAGCAGAACAATCAAATATGTTCTATATGCATGATTCCTGTCTTTGTTCATTTAAATAATATTGAAAGCATTTGCATTATAAATTTGAGAGCTTGTGGATAAATTTTTTCATTGTTGCTGATCTTGATTTCTGCTCCTATGTTGGCTTTTCATTTGTTAGATCAAGGGAAAGGTGTACACAGAAATTCACGTGGGCGATGTACTTCGATTTGGCCAGTAAGTTGATTTATTATTTAAAATATAATTAATCTATGGCTTTGTCGACTACTTATGTTTTTCAATCCACTTCCATCATCATCTTCTCAAACAATAATGCTTCTTTTTTGTTAATAGTAATTTATTTTCTATTATTTGCACAAAATCAATATGAGTATAGCATTATCTGTAATGATTGCCTTAATAATTCTTCTATTATGATAATCTTTTTTATCATTATCATCTGTGTGATACACATCACTAGCCAAGAGAAAAAGTCTGGAAGGATATGCTTTCACTCTTGAGTTCTTCGTTGTCAACAAAGAAATGATGCCTGCTTGCTCTAAAGCTCATTTGTCTTCAGGAGAAACCGTAATACTTAATTCAATTATGAGAGCCGAAAATGATTTGGTTCAGCTTGAGTAGGAGGGGTTTTCCGTTTTCTTGTGGTCCCTCTAACTTCCCGATTCCTAAGCCTAGGATCTTGAAAATAGTTGAATTGAGTCTGAATTTGCAAAAAATGTTTGAAATTTTTGCATTGGTATATCTTGAATGGAAGATGACACGTTGATTTGTAAAACTGGGTCGCTGGAAGTCTTTCCACTTATAATAGAGTGCATTTGGCTGGTAAAGCCTCCATCTGTTTTTAGCATTACCTGATAGAATTTCTTGATTTAATAGCAGTGTGGGCGGCATACTTCTGTCATACCGCTCAGCTTAGACCGTAATATCTTTTAAGCATCTGACATTCATTCATATACAATTTTGTACAAATATACATATTTATGCTTTCAACATGAGAGCAATATTTAGATTTAATATCCCCGAGTATCTTTTTGTCATACCAAAACTCTAATCAAACTATTATTGTACAAATATACATATTTATGCTTTCAACATGAGCGCAATATTTAGATTTAATATCCCCGAATGTCTTTTTGTCATACCAAAACTCTAATCAAACTATTAAGTAAATGTCATGCATTCTTTGCTGCAATAAACCATTGAACATTTATTTTCGTCGCCCAAAGTACACAAGTTATGATATTAGTATGTGCGGAGGTACAGTGGGACACTGGGCCCGTGCCCCCACTGACTCGGCCCAATAAATTAAATTTAATATAAATTTTCCACTGATTTGCCCGAATAAATTAAATTTAATATAAATCCTCCGTACATTTGTTGGCTGAAACATTTACAAAATCCTTATTCAAGCTATGGAGATTCTATTCAATTCTGATTCCTTTATTGAAAAAATGACTTATTGGACCTTAACAAATCAGAATAATATATTTGAAATCAGAAATATTTTTTTAATATTTAAAAACCATCAAGTAAATAATGTAATTACACTTTTCTAGCCCGCAAGCTCACGTGGCGCTCTGGATGGTCAACAGGTTTAGCTATGCTTTTCAATTTTAAGAGCAATTTTAATATGATATTTTCTGATGGTGGACTAAAGGTAAACACTAACCTCTCTCACGAGAAAGCTTCACATTAAACAATAGGCGCATTTACATACATACCATCCAATTTCTATGTATTTACATATCTAACACTTAAACTCTTTTTTTTTACATTTATATCACCAAATCTTTCATATCACATCAAAATACAAATAATTTTGTTTTTTTAAAATTGAAATATTACTTTTCATGCATATATAAGTGACATTTATGTTAGTTATCAAATGAACTAAAAAAGCTTTGGAATTTTTATGGTGAGCTAGCTCGATCCTAAACAATACATCAAACGTTGCTAGCAATGCTTTTGTATTTTTGTATTTTTGTATTTTTGAATTTTTTATACTTTATGTATGTAAATCATCCTAAACATCAAACGTTGCTAGCAATGCTTTTGTATTTTTGAATTTTTTATACTTTAATTTTATTTTTTTTAAAGTATCTTTGCATTAAATAGTGCTATATTTTTTTAAAAGAAATTATTGCGAATTTAATTTTTTTTTAAGTTAATAATGTAAAAATGTTTTAATTTTAATTTAGTTTTCATGTTATTATGTCTAAAAAATGAAAAAATTGTAGTATTGATAATAAAATAATTATAAAACTGTTTCAAGTAATATTCTTTTTTATTTTTATTTCTTTTAGCATGTTTTTATTATTTTTATATTAAAAATAAAAAAATGATAAAATTGTCAATATCAACCCTAAGTCTGGATAAAAAAGATTAAGGCTAATTTTGAAATTATTTATTTGTGCCCTCGTTGAAAAAATTTTCTGGCATCATCCGTGGATGTTATTATTGTGATTCTCAAGACCTAACATTTATTAGCAGCAGGGTTGTGCAAACTTGTTTGATTCCGAATGCGTCATGATTCAACTCATTTAATGTAACTGATGCAGGGTTGTGCAAACTTGTTTGATTCCGAATGCGTAATGATTCAGATTCAACTCATTTAATGTAACTGAGACTTAGTTTACTTTTTTGTTTCAGGTGGTTAGGTTTTTATCTGTTTTGCTCAATCTATCACCTTTAGCTCTCTCTTCTTTTTCTTCCCCTCATTCACCCCCCTCTTGCGGCCTATGAGGCATAACAAAAGAAATAAGTCTAATACATAATTCAAATTCCCAGAAACTGTAATCACCATGTGTGTTAATCATAATTGGATTTATTCGTAAAATTAAGCATTGGTTGACTAACATGTTGTTAAATCAATTACAATTATAGTTTGGATACATGAGGACCAATATTAATATTTTTGTACAAATAAATAGCAACAATATCACAAATGTACATTTTTCATAAGTTCGACAATGATTTAATTCCTTTCACATTAATTTATTTACATCAAATTCTTTTTTATTGTCTATCATCTTGTATTGTACTTTAGGCTTAGAATGTGTTATGTATGATTGTATTGCTTTTTGGACATCATAAAGTTGTGAGTTTTAAAGCCACACTATGTAATATAAACTTAGCCTGAAGGCTATATTGTAAAGTTCAATAAAGCCCAGGTGAAACTCAGTTTTATCGCTCTGAGGATCTTTTTGCTCAATATGGTACCCTTTTGCCGCTCATGTACGTGTATTGAAACATATTATTGCTAGCCTATTCTTCTATAACATGATATTTTTTTTAGCTTCACATTTTTTCCATTGAACATTTATTAAGCATGTGATTTATTTTTAAGTTATACAGAACAGCTGTATCTACACATGAGTAATTTGCAGATACTAGATACATTCATTTTAAAGTGTCTCGAATTAACAAGATATTTGTGTAACCATGATATATTTAATTAAAGGTTTGTATTATCCAAGTTTATGTGTAGTTATTTACACATAGGTATTAAGCTATAAGTATGCATTCTACAAGATGAAGGATTTCTACTGCATTGTACCAATTAATCTGATTTACATGTAAATGAGCATGCAAATAACTAAAGAAGATTTGTTTTATATATTAGAATTTGTATATCTTGCCCCACTAACGATCGATCTTCACTAACTGAACACGAAATTTCTCATTTTTTGTAGACAGTCTCAAAATTATTTCTCCTCGTACAAGCAATGAGGTCTACCAATCCAATTTGAGATTGATTAGTTAAAGAAAATACTAAAAACTTGATTTTTAAATAAAAAAATCTAGCTTTCTCACCTAACTTCTTTCCTTCCCTTATTTAACTGCGTGTGCAAATATCAGATTTTCACTACTGCTGCTATGGGATAATAACTAAGCTACATTATTGTTAAAAACATTTGTAATTTAATTTAAAGATTTAATTAACTTATATAAGCTAAAATTCTAGTACATGTGCGCATGCGCGCGCGCATGTACTCGTGCGCCTGAGCACGCACCCGCCCCCTCGCGCACGCACCCGCCGTTGGGAGGGAATAGTACATGTGCGCATGCGCGCGCGCATGTACTCGTGCACCTGAGCACACACCCGCCCCCTCGCGCACACACCGACCCGCACACGCACGCACCCGCCGCTGTGGGAGGGATTGGTGTGTGTAGATGATGGGAGAGTTGATCGGCATGGGCACTTTTGGGAGTGTTGACCTCATTTTTAGTGAGGTCTTAGTCTCCTACTCTTAGAACCTAGGATCTAGCTTTAGGAGTTCTTATTGACCATCCTAGCGGAGTAGCAATGGAACCCACCTCCCGTAGAACTTCAAGCCACTTCTTGACTCATTTTTGTGAAGAACTCGCATGAGTGGTTCAAAACACTCAACTTCTAGTTGCAAGGGCTAAGGACCAATATGTAGAGGGCCCGAAAATGAAGTTCCTGTAAGATCAAACAGCCTTAGGTGAACCCTTTGTGACTCGATTACTCGTGAACGCCGCAATTCACGCACTCATTGCACCACACACGACTTTGACTTGAATCGACTCGCCCGTCTGCGAACATGTCCGGACGACCTCGGACGCGTCCGGAACGTCGACTTTAGCTAGGAAGGACACCCATATTGCTAAGGTTAGCCACACACACAAATGTCACGAAAATCGATGCATTTTTTTTAGCGGGCACAGGCCCGAGCTCAACCTAAGTTCAACTCGGGCTCGACTTGGGCCTGGTTCAATTCGAGCTGAACATGGGTTAGGCACCATCTCATCTGAATTTGAAATTCAAATTTCAAAATTCAAACATAATATTCATTTCTGGTATTAATTGAAAATAGTTTTGTGTTATTAATTTCCAATTAAGCCGCATTCAGCAAACGAAACTATTCAATTCCCCGCCAAAGCTCTCGAGTAATGGCTCACTAATCTTCGGCTATACAAATTAGCCCCGGATCTTCCCCGTAGAGGATTGTAGAGGATTCCGAATTCGCCCATCCCCCGCTCCCTCTGCTCGATCCTGTCTCCCGCTCCAAAGGAGCCGCAGACCCCGCTCGACGCCCTTGCCTGCTCGCCTCTTCCCTGTGTCGAAGAAGCTCGATCCCGATCTCCCGCACCCGCCTGCTCGATCCCGATTCCTACACTCGCCTGCTCGCCTCTTCCCTGCGTCGAAGAAGATCGATCCCGATCTCTTCCCGATCTCCCGCACCGAAGCCGAA